AAAAAGAAAAGAAACACCCCCCCCCCCCCCATTATATTATAGCTAACATAACATTATATTATAGATATAATATTATAGTTAACATAACATTATATTATAGATATAGAAATTATAGTTATCATAATAATATTTATCGTTTTTTTTTGTTTTATTCTTTTTTTTTTGTTTTATTTTGTTTTTGTAATTTGTAATAAATGCAATGTAATTATAGAGACGAGCCTTGTAATTGGAAACAAGTAATACCTTTGGAGGTTGGCACTCTCAATTTTGTTGGGCACTCTGACATCTCGAAGATCGGTTAGTAATTTCGCTGCTTCGTTATCTAAGCTTCGATTGAGAATATCGAGATAAAGACTAGCTTTCCTTAAATTTTGCAGATTAATATTATTGATGTAACGTAGGTAAGCAAGGCAATGATTTTTTGTATTCTTTACATTTAATATACCATTTATCACTTCTCGTTCAGTAACTTGAGCATAAATTGCATTACATGCATATTAATTATACACACATATGTAAATTAATTAAAAAAATATTGCACTTACCTGACATAAAATAATTGTGCATCGTGTCTTTGTCAAATTTACCATTATTAAATAAAGATTGTGCTCCTTTTCTAAAAAGTTTTTGCATTTTTACCATAGTATCCCACCATATTGCTTGGTCCTCTTGTTGTAACTTAGGTATTCTCTAATTTGAATTTATACAAGCGTTAATTAAAAAAAAAAATTATGAAAAAAAAAAATATATATATATATATATATATTCATTCGTAAGTGTCATAAAATAGACGACAAGGTAACAACATTTCATTATTTTATGATTACTTTGTTATTGAAATTTTTCAAAATTGAAGAGATCGGCTGAAGAATACTAGTCGGTGGCACGGCATTGCTGTCCTTCTTGTACCAAGTGTCGAGGACGCTTACATCCATACCCTGGCTATATAATTCTGTTCTTAACATTTCCAATTCTGAGCTTAAAACATACGTTGGTATAGGTCTGTATCCGTATTTTTGACCCAGAAGAACCTGCGAATTCATTACATTTGTATTTTTAAGTATTTATTTCTACATTAAGAGGCCGAACGTCATTTAATTGGCCTCATTGTCAATGAATATACCTCAAATTTCCATTCAAAGGATAGTTATTAAATTTAGTTTTAGTTTTCTTACAGCGCAATTATTATTACGTATTTTATTATTATTATTATTATTATTATTATTGCTTTCGACATTTTTTTCCTAAAGTTGAGACACGACGTATTGTATAATTTATTTGCACATGTGTAGTTTTATAACAAATGCATACTTCCATTTAGAATTATGTTGCATGTGCTCTGTCTGTTACGCTTACAGATAGCATACAGATGTACAATAAAATAAGGCTGTTCAAGGTATTTTTTCATCATACCACGAAATTCGGTCCCATAGATAATCGTTGGCAATTTTCTATTTCGCGCATACATAATTCAGTTGTCATATGATCGTCGGTTGCCTCATCTCGAACACCCCATCGCATGTCCACGACCTGTACAACAGTTATTCCCAAGTCAAATAACATTTAGACGATAATGAGCCAAGTCGTATAAATAATTAGGTCTTAGTTAAAAAAAGGTTTAAATAGTTTCTTTAGACAACAATGTATGTGCATGCTTTAGGCAATTTAACAGATACGTTTAGTTTCGTACGGTAGCTCGTACCTGGTACTAACAAAATCAATTTCCGATTCAAGGCCATCAATACGAATGTCGAAAGTTCAAAGACTATTAATCTACACGCTATGACAGGGAAACATGTTATCAGTTCTTTAAGACTATTGATTTACATTTTGCGGAATTTCACACTACATTTTAATATGACCAACAGCTCTCATGCAAATAAACTACTATACGACATTTTAGATGTTGGTTTATAATTGTAAATCATCTCCGTTTAATTTGACTTTATGACTATTTAGGCAGTTTAATTGGAATTTTTCTTACGAAATACGGATTAGACAAATGTATTCGATGAAAAGTTACGAGAAAATTTATATTGTACAGTCGTTATTACGTACTTTCACAATTATGTTCATACATAAAAATATTAAAATTGCCAATATAGTAATATGAAGAAAAAACATTTTAAACTGACGAGGGATAAAAGTTTCGTAACTTTTAAAGCATATTGAAAATAGTTGATTATATTATTATAAATAAATAAACTTTTTATGCAATTCGTACCTGAAATTCGAGTCCATGTTTTTCACGGCAGTAATCTTTCAGCTTTGGATAGCATTTCGCCATTAATGTGTTTCTCTCCATTGTTGTATCTGAAACAGATTTATGGATAAAAATTAAGCTTTCCCATAATATTGAAAGGATAATGAAATTATCTGTTGGACAGAAAAAAGAAAAAAGAAATGTTAGACCTGTAAAAGTTGAACTGGTAAAAATACGAACTATTTTTGAACTAACTGGTGGCAATGATTTCAAAGAGCCCGCAAAAATCGAGTCTACCGTTTTTTCATCCATTTTTATTTATTGACTGGTACGTTATATAACAATTAGGTATGATGCAATGTTTCAATAAAGTACTGATATGTGTAATGTCTAAGCTCAATGTTCATCATCGTATTTAGATGACGTTGAATGACTGCAGTACATCATACACTATATTTGTAAATATTTTATATCCATTTTTTCTTATTAAACAAAATTAACATCGTATCGTAATAATAATTATTACTAATGATTATGTTAAAATGCAATTCGAAAGCCTTCCTTTCGTACGTCGGATTGACTAATGTAAAGAAAGCGCAAGCAAAGGAATTCAAATACTTGTCGTTGCTAAGGCTTGTTTACCACCTACATACGACTACTATAAATTGATTATTTAATCTGCAGTTAGTGAAAAAAAAAGAAAAAAAAAAGAAAAAAAAAAGCACAAAGCTCCTCGTAAGATTAATCCACGGTAATATTTATCATATTGTATTCATTTTAATTATCTATTTGCAGCATTTTGATGGATGTCATAAATTGAAGTTGTACTTTAAAACAAAATCAGAATGGCGCCTTCCGATCCTGTGACGCAAATGAATACATACCGGTCCTATGTGACTATGCTCGCTGATCCAAATGCGAAAGATGAATCGAAATTGAAGGCGGCTCAGGAGATGTCGGAAAATTTCGAGGTAAACGAGTTTAACGAAATTCGTTAAAGAAAATTCGAGAATGAGCACTTTCAGTTTTACTTACTGGATAAAATAGAAATTTATCTATTCTGAGAAATATGTATAAATTATGTATAAATGAACATAATTTTGTTATCGGTATAATTATTAATAATAACGATAATCAACAAACAAACAAACAAACAAACAAACAAACAAAAACTTGTATTTTACTCATAAAGTGCTATTTTTTGTCGCATATATTCGTCACTGCTATTGCTTAATGATTTGAATGTGTAGAGATTAATTTGTGAAATACAAATCATTATTTGTTTAATAACGTTTAATATAAAGCAGTAAAAAAAAAAATCAAACTATTTCCACAAGAAAGACGTTCATTGATATATATATATATATATATATATATATATGATTTGATATTTTTTTCCAGGTCATTATGTGCTCGGCACAATATCCTGCATTTTTGGATCATCTAATGAAAAACTTCCTGAAAATCCTACAGGAAGGTGAACCGCACTTTATATCCGAATACAATATCCAACAAGTGCGAAAATTAATCTTGGAGATGATACACAGACTTCCAACGAATGATTTTTTAAGGCCTTACGTTAAGCAAATATTAAGTCTTATGCTTAAGCTTTTAGAAACGGAGAATGAAGAGAATATTCTAGTTTGTTTGAGAATTATTATTGAATTACACAAACAATACAGGCCCACTTTTAATCCCGAGGTCTGTATTTTAATGTCTCTTATATGAATTATAGAATTGTGACGAATTTTAATAAAGTTAAATTTAATTCATAGATTCAGCACTTTTTACAATTCGTTAAGTCAATATACAGCGAATTGCCGAAAAACTTACCAAAGATTTTTGAGCCCCGACCGCCTATTAGAGTAAAAGACTTATCGGAGATAAATCTGGAAGCATTTTTAAAAGAAACTTTCACAATAACGCCAATTCAAAGTGAGAAAAAAGCTGCCGATGGATCCGTATTAAGTGTAAGTGCCGCTAATGATGATTAGACAATTGCTTTAACATTAACAATTATTAGCCAAATGTGAAGCCTAATGTATTTTTTAATTATTAGAATTATTTTATTTATTTATTTATTTTTGTTTTGGTTTTGATTTTACTTAGCGTTATTAGATTAATCGTAATTTTAAGATAAAAAAAATATCGATTACGAGCGGCTCATTAAAGTAGCAAAAAAATTAATTTACAATTCCCAATCCTACATCAAGCTTACATTATAAAATAATAATAATAATATTTCCTTACATCGTTATATTGAATATTATTATATTATAAATTATAAATTTGAATATTTTTTAATACAAATTATTAATGCCAGCCGATGTATTAAATATCTTTAGTTTCATTTTAATAAAAGTAATATAAAATTTTCCCTGAAATACAAAGATAGCCGCTAAGTATTTAGAAAAGTCGTTAAAATTTTCAAACTTATCATTTGCTTCTAGTTCCTTTAATTCTCTATATAAGAATAATATTCACTTTGTGACTTTTTCATAGCTTAAGTTTTTTTTCTTCCATCAGCACAGTAAACTCCGGTGCCTTATCAATTAAAATTTTATTTCCAGTATAATCTCATTCCAAAAGCAGTACTCTCTTTGAAAGTTCTTCAAGAACTTCCCATAATTGTTGTACTGATGTACCAAATCTACAAGCAAAACGTTCATCAAGATGTCTCTGATTTCATTCCACTCATCATGACGACGATAACTCTACAGCCTAGTCCCCAACATCGGGCCTCTCCCGGTTTTAACAAAGAAGTCTTCGTGGACTTTATGGGCGCACAAATTAAGACCCTCTCGTTTCTCGCCTACATAATCCGCATTTATCAAGATGTCGTTGCTCAGCATAGCACAATGATGGTCAAAGGCATGTTAGGACTCTTATCCCTTTGTCCGATGGAAGTGGCCCATTTAAGGAAAGAGTTACTGATTGCGGCCAGACATATATTAGCAACGGATCTGCGAACCAAGTTTGTACCTCATATGGAGAGGCTTTTCGACGAGGAAGTACTACTTGGACACGGATGGACAACTTACGAATCGCTGAGACCACTCGCGTATTCCACATTGGCCGATTTGGTTCATCATGTTAGGCAGTTGCTGCCACTGTCGGATCTCGCCAGAGCCGTTCATCTCTTTAGGTGACTTTTCATTTACATGTATTTTTAATCAATGAGAGTGTCGGCGTAGAAAAGAAAAGCACGTATAGGTTTAAATAATGCCAATATCGCATTGTGAAAAATGTGAAAAAAAAGCGTATAGTTGCGAATGAATTGTGTTTAAAATTATGGGCTTAGGAGTTTTGTTATTGTGCTACCAAGTGAAATTAATTATACTAGACATATTCTTCAATAATTTAGTATTTCTATAAATTTTTTCATATTGCTCAAATGGAATAAACGAGTAGTTAATAAAGTATTTTAAATTCCCTCGTAGTGCAACGACTCGTTATAAAAATGTTGATATTATCTAATGACTCACTAATTGCGTTAGATCTAATCAGCTCTAATCGACAATCCTTATGTTTTCCAGTAAAAACGTTCACGACCAAAGTCTACCCACTTCCATCCAAACGATGTCCTGTAAATTGCTACTAAATCTCGTTGAGTGCATCCGTCAGCGGTCAGACGCCGAAAATAGCAACCAAGGCCGTGAACTCCTCATGCGAATGCTCGAGGTTTTTGTATTAAAGTTTAAAACGATAACGAAACTGCAGATGCCGATACTATTGAATAAAGCTAAGCAACAAACGACTCCCACTAGCGATGTGAAGCCCACGCCTACGGAGGACGTAAAGCCAAACATAAATGAGCTGCAGGATGAGAAGGAGTGTACGAAAACGAAATTTGGCTTTCCCTCGGCGCAGAATCAGACTTGTAACGTCGTCGACTACAGAAGCCTCGTTAAGACGCTTGTCTGCGGCGTCAAAACAATAACCTGGGGCTGTGCCAATTGCAAGTCCGGTGAAGTTACACAGTCGAAGCAGTTTCAACCCAAAGAGACACTCGTCTTCATACGGTTGGTTAAATGGGCCTTACAAGCTTTGGATATCTATACGATAGGGCCACCGGCTCTCGGCGCACTGGCTCAGCCGGGTAGGCCAGCGCAACCACAGACCGTAAGGAGCAAAGAAGAGAAGGAGGTACTCGAGCATTTCAGCGGCGTTTTCTCCATGATGAATCCCCAGACATTTCAAGAAATATTCTCCACCACTATTGATTACATGGTCGAGCGAATCTTTAAAAATGCCGCTCTCCAGATCGTCGGCAATTCGTTCTTGGCCAATCCTACGACCTCGCCAATATTTGCCACCGTACTCGTCGAGTATCTGCTCGAGCGAATGGACGATATGGGCTCGAACGTCGACAGGAGCAATCTCTACCTAAGATTGTTCAAGCTCGTATTCGGCAGCGTTTCTCTCTTTCCGGCGGAAAACGAGCACATGCTGCGTCCCCATCTCCATCAGATCGTTAATAGATCGATGGAACTCGCCATGTCCGCTAAAGAGCCTTACAATTACTTTCTCCTCTTGAGGGCTTTGTTCAGATCGATAGGAGGAGGATCGCACGATCTTCTTTATCAGGAATTTTTACCATTGCTCCCAAATTTACTCGAAGGCCTAAATCGATTGCAGTCAGGATTACATAAGCAGCATATGAAGGATTTGTTTGTGGAGCTGTGCCTTACCGTACCTGTTAGACTAAGCTCGTTATTGCCGTACTTGCCAATGCTCATGGACCCGTTGGTATCAGCCTTGAACGGAAGCCACACTCTCGTGAGTCAAGGTTTGCGAACGCTGGAGCTCTGTGTTGATAATCTTCAGCCAGACTTTTTATACGAGCACATTCAACCCGTGAGAGCTGATCTTATGCAAGCGCTATGGAGGACATTGCGAAACCCTACCGATCAGGTAACGTGATCTTGAACGATTCTTCCACTTCCTTAAATTTATTTTTACATATTAAAAGAATATTTGATTTTTTGCCGTGTATTTGGAACGAAATTTGATGAAAGCCACATTTGACGTGGTTTTTTTTTTTTAATATTATAATATGATATGCGTTCGTTTTTGCATTTAGCTCTCGATGTTATGACTATTGGCATTTCTATTGTTTGTTCAATCATATGAGAAAGTACGAAACGTACATCTTTTTACAATTGCGTGTACTACGGATGTCTAACGGATGTACGTTGTTCGTATCATAAATGAACGATTTTAATAAAGAAATACATAATAAAGTTGCTTGCCAATTTTCAAACGTTAATCCCTCTGACGTAACAAAAATATTTATTTTTACGTTAATTCAAAAAAAAAAAAAAAAAAAAAAAAAAAAAAAAAAAAGTATTAAAGAAAGGGAACTGTAAATTAACATTGATGAATAATAATAAACTGTTGTGATTTGTAGGTTGCACACGTGGCTTTCCGTGTACTCGGCAAATTCGGTGGAGGAAATCGCAAAATGATGATCGAGCCACAAAAGTTAGAATACAACGATCGTGAAACGAATCCACCGGCGATCGTTGCTTACTTCCAAGAGCCGTCCAAGGGCATCGATTTTCCCGTAGAAAAAGTTATCGACACCGCCTTTACTGCCCTCAAGTCCAATACGACCGATCCGTTCTACCGTAAACAATGCTGGGAGGTGATCAATTGTTATCTATCCGCATCGCTCAGACTCGACGACGATAGAGCAACGCTTTACAAGTTCTTCACCCATCCGTCTTTCAAAGAGGGCAAGATTCCTCATCAACAGGGACCGCATTATAAAAGTTTGGATAGCGTAGCACGAAACGTGCAACAAACAGCGCTTACCGGTAAGACGATAATTGGCTCGGGCGAAACTTAATATGACATTAAATCAGATTGTTTAATTTGCAAGCAGGAAAGTTAAGAATAAGCTCGATATCTTTTATAATTTGCCACAAACCCGTACGAAATAAGATATTTAATCTTGTTATTTTCGTGTTTTCATAATAATGATAAGGAGCAGTATCAATAGAACTACTAGAATCGGCATTATTCATGTTAATTACAAACGTTATGCAAATTTACGTTGCGCGTACATTGAAATTGTAAAAGATTTTTGTTACTTATATGACGCAATTTTCATAATTTGCAACAGTGATGGCTTTGACTAATGAGTCTTTGTAATAAACGTTCGCTGTGCTTTCTCATTTCTCATCCAATTGCAATGCTTATTTATTGCAGGCTTATTCGTGGCAGCGGCCATTAAAGAACTACGCCAATCTGTCTTGGGAACAATGTTTAGTATCGTGCGTCATTATACAATGGTAGCGATCGCCCAGCAAGCCGGCCCATTCTGCTTAACCAACAAGTCAAACCGACTCCAAGGGCAGGATCCTCTTGTCCTCGTAGACGCTCTAACCGTAATAATGGGCCACGAGGAGAAAGAGCTGTGCAAGCCAGGAAACCTCGCGCTCGTCATTATCCTCGAGACAGCGACCAACATCCTCGGCTCTAAGGAGCGTGCTTGCCAACTGCCCTTCATGGAATATCTCGCCGACAAGATGTGCTCATTGTGCTACGAGCGCGCCTGGTACGCCAAACTCGGTGGCTGCATGGCCATCAAGTTCCTCTTCGAACGCATGGCCACCAAGTGGGTGCTCAATCACCTCTTCGTCTTTTTGCGTGCGCTCATCTTCGTAATGATGGATTTAACGGGGGAGGTGTCGAACGGCGCCATTGACATGGCCAAAACAAATCTGGAAAAGATGCTGAGGGTGTGCGTGAATCCGGGCAGTCACGAGATAGGGAACGCCGAGCTCCTCGAAGCTCAGAATAAAGCTCTGTACGAGGTAACCCATGAATTGGTGAGGCAGGTCACGTCGCCGCACACTATCGTAAGGGAGCAGGCTATGGCTTCACTACGTCTATTAGGCGAGATACAAAATAAGACTGTGACCGAGGTGATGGAGCCACATAAAGAAGTACTCGCGGACATGATACCCCCGAAAAAACATTTGCTCCGTCATCAGCCGGCTAACGCTCAAATAGGTACAATTTCCTCGTACTCTTGTTCTTATCTTTTCGTTCTTCCTTTCTCTTTTTTCATTATTCTTTTTTCCTTTTTCATTTTTACTCGCTTCTTTCAGCCTTACTACTTACCGAGGCTCGATTCTTTAAATTGAAATGAAAAGATAAAGATCGATGTACTAATGAAATGAACGTTCCAACAGGTTTAATGGATGGCAATACCTTTTGCACGACACTGAATCCACGGTTGTTTACCATTGATCTCAAGACGGTCGAGCATAAGGTATTTTTCGAAGAGTTGTTGACCCTCAACGAGGCGGAGGACATAAACCTTAACCGACTCCCCTGTTATAAATCGGTACCAAATCTCATACCATTGAGAAAGTCGGCGCTAAGAGCCTTGGCGGCTTGTCATTACATAGCCGATAAGCGGCAAAATATCTTTGAGGTGCTTTACGCAGCCCTGGAGAAGCCTAACACCGAGTTACAGGAGGCTGCCTTCGAGTGTATGCAGAAATTCATAGCCGGTTTTCAGATCGATATGGAATCGGTGCACGCGATTATGCGGCCGATGCTACTTACTCTTGGCGACCATCGCAATCTCAGTCTCAATTGCGTGAAGCGTCTGTCGTATTTAACTCAATTGTTCCCAAGCACTTTTAGCATAACGCTGTGCGAGCAGCTGCTTCAGCATCTTAAGAAATTGCTCGAAAATTTGATTCAAGCGCACAAAGGAGTGTCGAAGACTGGCGAGAACGAGCAGAAAATCGCGACGATCATAGGAATATTTCATCAGATACCGGCAGCGACTCCAAAGTTCATCGACGTACTTTGTCGATTGGTCATGCAGACGGAGAAACAACTTTTGGTCGAAGCGTCGAGTCCCTTTAGAGTGCCACTTATGAAATTCCTTTTAAGGTATTTATCGTTTCTCCATACTATCGCATATTTATCGCAGGTATTTATCGGTATGCCAGTCCGTAGCAAAATAAAAAAAAGAAGATCGATTCTTATTGTATAAACGAACGAACGAACGAACGAACGAATCGAGCGAAATAAAACATTGAGCATAATTTTTATTCCTCAAGGTATCCCACGGAGACGTTAAATCTTTTCCTTAACGACAATAATATCAAGGATCAGCAGTGGAGCCGATATCTCGAATTTCTCATTAAGCATAAGAATGGAAAGTCTTTTAGGGATGTGCTACATAAGAGTACAGCGAGGCTGATAGCAATGTTACTTGCTAATTCGCAAATCAATTCGAATCTTACGCTCAATGAGAAGAGCGAACTTCAGCATCAAGCGATTAGAATAGTATCTGTGCTGATTAAATTTGACGAACAGTGGCTGTCAAGCCAAACTCAGCTGGTTGCTGCACTAAGGCAGATATGGTGTAACGACGATTATCACGCGCTTCATAAGAAGGTCGACAACGTCGACTTCTGCCATTGGAAAGAACCCAAGCTCATTGTCAAGATTTTGTTACATTACTTTTGCCATCACCCCAACGACATTGATCTATTATTTCAGCTGTTGAGAGCCACTTGCGGTAGATACGTACCGGATTTTCAATTCTTAAGAGATTTCTTAGAGAACACAGTTGCTCAGGAGTACACCGTCGAGTGGAAAAGAAGTGCATTTTTCAGGTTGTTATGTTATTTCTAATTTAATTAAGAATGCCGTTAATTTAATGTGAATATTTTAAATACTCTTTCTTTTTTTTTTCTTTTTTCTTTTTTTTTTTTTTTTTTTTTTGAAATAAGGCAATAATGGTAATCGAGGGCAAATAACTTATCAATGACTCGCAATCAAATCCAAATTCCTTTAGCATTGAGATAATTAATTCAGCTTTATTCAAATTATTATATTATAACGACAAAATCATAAGCTTCCGTAAAATTATTAAGGAATATCAAGCTTTGCGAGCACTACTACTTTAAACAATCTAAAAGAAACTTTCGTTTAATCCCGTTAGATTCGTCGAGCATTTCCCAACGACGATGTCACCCGAACTCAAAGCCAAGATCGTACAATTAATTATTATTCCCTGCTTCGCCGTGAGCTTCGAGAAAGGCGAAGATACCAAGCTTGTTGGTAGTACTCCTGTGCCCTATCAGGACAGTCCCGACAACATTGTCTCCGTTTTCATCAACAAAATAATTGATCCGGAGAATCCGTTAACCGCAACCGACTGCATCAGGATCGCCCTCCTACAGTGCTCTTGTCTACTCGTCGAACTCGCACCTCAATACATACACGACGGATCGAACAAGCGCCAGGGTAATAAACTAAGAAGATTAATGACTTTTGCATGGCCCTGCTTGCTTGGCAAGAATTGCGTCGATCCTGTGACGAGATATCATGGTCATCTGTTGCTTAGTCACGTTATCGCGAAATTTGCGATACATAAAAAGATTGTTCTGCAGGTAAAAGAATAACAAAAACAAAACAAAAACAAAAACAAAACAAACAAAAAACGTTCATTTTATTATATAATAATTCGTTTGATTTATTGATAGATGTAAATTTTACGATAAAATTATTTTTTAGTAACGAGAGAAATATACCGTTGATGTAAAGCTGTTACAAATACAACTTATTGTAGCCATCAAATTAATATGTTTGATTGGCTAATGATGATGTTGCATTTGTAATTCGTTTCTTCGTGCTCTTTCTTATTTGTATAATTATGATAATCGATATGTTTTGTGATGTCGAGCAATTTTGTTTCATTTTTTTCATTTTTTTCATTTTTTTCATTTTTTTCATTTTTTTTTTCGATCTTTTTTATTACCTTATGTATTGCAGGTGTTTCACAGTCTATTGAAAGCTCACGCGGTCGAGGCCCGTAATGTCGTGCGCCAAGCCCTCGAAATTATAACTCCTGCTATGCCCGTTCGCATGGAGGATGGTTTTAAAATGCTTACACATTGGACGAAGAAAATAATTGTCGAGGAAGGTCACTCGATGCAGCAACTCTTTCATATTCTTCAACTAGTCGTACGGCACTACAAAGTCTACTATCCGGTACGGCATCATCTTGTCCAGCATATGGTTAATTCTATTCAACGGCTGGGCTTCAGTCCCACAGCCACCATCGACCATCGACGCCTAGCAGTTGAGCTTGCCGAAGTCATTATTAAATGGGAGTTACATCGTATTAAGGTAATGCATTTGGATCGAATTTTAATTTAGAAAAATTAATCCAACTATTAGGATTCGATGTTTTAAATTAGAGGGGGCACATCTTAACACCATTATCGATACATCAAAGTCATTGAATATTATTGGGCGGGCGCGTGCACACAAGCGCGCACATTCAAATAATCTCTCATTTAACAAGTTAGTCTTTTAAAGTTGAAAAGATTGAAATTCAAAGTATTTTCATCGCTTAATAAATGTAAATATCGATATTTTGTATATAGAAGAATATTTCATTATTTTATTTTAAGTTTATACAAATTCTGACGTACATTATTATTATTACTGTTGTTGTTGTTGTTGTTGTTGTTGTTGTTGTTGTTGTTGTTGTTGTTGTTGTTGTTGTTGTTGTTGTTGTTGTTGTTGTTATTATTATTATTATTATTATTTTTATTATTATTATTATTGTTGTGTTTCAATAGACAAAATTTTGTTTGCCCCGGCTCACACGTAGTTAAAAAAAATTACTTTCAAATTATTGGAAAAAAAAATTCAAATTAGTTAAATTAAAAGTTTAATAAATATTAATTTATTTAATAAAATTAAATTTATTAAATTTATTTAATAAAAATTTAGTAAAAATTTAAAAAATTAAATTTACAAGTTAAATATTCGAACAAAAAGTTAATCATTATTCTTAACATTTGAAATTCCAAATTTTTAATTCACGAAAGACCATTCGTATTAATGCTCAATTTTACGAGTCATTCGGGCGAATTACTTGAACGGCTTAATTAAGTAATATGTTAAGTGTAATAGATATTTCTCTTTATGTGCACGTAGGACGAGGCAGAGAATATAGAAACGGGCGGCACAGGAACCATGACCGGGGGTGGCAGCCTCAAAAGATCTCTCGCTGACGAGCCCGGAGAACAAGCGAAACGCATGGCCACTCAGATGGGCATAAACCAGGGTGCGGTCGCGAGCCAGTCCAGCACATCGAGTCTCCTCGTGACGCCGAAAATGGAGCCCGGGGCGACGAAACCCATCGAGCGTGCACACGCCGACGCGATATTGAACTTTTTGCTGAGGCTCGCTTGCCAGGTGAACGACGCTACAACGACGCAGGGAAATCCCGGTGAGCAGCTCTCCAGGCGTTGCGTGGCCTTGCTGAAAATGGCTCTAAAGCCGGACGTCTGGCCCCAGTCGTGCGACCTCAAACTCGGTTGGCTCGACAAGGTCTTTGGTAGCGTGGACACGCCGCAGCCAAATTATGGAAACATATGCACTGCTTTGGAGCTACTGACTTTCCTCTTGGGAGTAATGAAGAGGGAGCAGGTCCTGGCAAGCTTCAAGCCGCTGCAGAGAGGACTGGGAGCGTGTATTGCCAATACGAACACAAAAGTTATAAGGTTTGCATCCACCGACACATTCGACGAATATCTTTCAAGCGATAAGATAGTCTTTTCTTTTCTCTCTCTCTCTCTATCTATCTCTCTCTCTCTCTCTCTCTCTCTTACTCTCCTTCTTTTTTAACGATATATTTTTTGTTCATTCGCGTAGATTGGTTCATGGATTGCTATCCCGTTTAATGACGATCTTCCCGACGGAACCCACCACATCAACCGTAGCCTCGAAGCACGAGGAATTGGAGAGCCTCTACGGAACGATCGGTAAATTCGTAATCGATGGTCTGGCGACATACGAGAAAAATCTCACCGCACAGCCGAGCTCCCTTTTTGGCACTTTGATGATGCTCAAAGCCGCTTGTACGAATAATCAAAGCTACATCGATCGAATAATCTCACCGTTCATGCGCGTACTGCATCGCATGGCCAAGGATCACCTGCATCCAACGCAGACGGAAAATAATCAAGTGGGTAGCGAGTTGCTTATTATGAGCCTCGACCTTGTGAAGAATAGGGTAGCGGTCATGGGTGTCGATATGCGTAAATCCTTCATAGGCTCGATTTTGGTGGGTCTCATTGAGAAGACGCAGGACATCAAAGTCATGAAAGCGATCACTAAGATGCTGGAAGAGTGGATGAAAAACAAAAATCCCGTGGCGGTCAATCAAGCTCCCAGTCTTCGGGAGAAATCGATACTCTTGGTTAAGATGATGCAGTACGTGGAGAAGCGCTTCCCGGACGATTTGGAGCTGAACGGGCAGTTTTTGGAGCTCGTGAATTACGTGTACAGGGACGAGACGCTCAAGTCGTCGGAGCTGACCTCGAAGCTCGAACCCGCCTTTCTCAGCGGTCTGCGCTGCATACAACCGCACATTAGGGCCAAGTTCTTTGAAGTCTTCGACGGATCTATGCGACGCAGGCTGCACGACAGGCTGCTTTACATAATATGTAGCCAGAGTTGGGACGCTATGGGGCCGCACTACTGGATAAAGCAATGTATCGAGCTACTAATCGTCACCGCAAATCCAAATAGCCAAGTGCAAATGTCGAATCAAGACACGCTCCTGCCGAGCATTAATTCACTTATAAATCTCGTGGACAGCGAGGAGCAAAAGAGCTTTCTCGTGTATTCGATGATCAAGGAGGAGCCGCAAGACATGATGGACACTGGCGATGTTAAGGACGATATGATGGACATAGACCTGTCGAATATCGATCCGGTTATCGCGCCCGAGGAGCTCACTTCCGGTAAGCAGACGAGCTTCGCCCAGCTCATCGCGAATCAAGCGGATTTCCTCGAGCGATCGAAAAGAATTAAAACCGAGCAGATACTCAACGCGGCGGCCCAGCTCTGTCATATGGATACGAGCCTCGCGGAGAGAGTCTGGCTGGATACGTTTCCGCGGCTTTGGAACATCCTTGACGAGCATCAGCAAAACATCCTCATAGCCGAGATCGTGCCGTTCGTTTGTAGCGGCACTCACGTAATACAGAAGGACTGTCACCCGAGCGCAATAGCGACTTTCGTCGAGGCCCTGTCGCATTGCAATCCGCCTGTACCCATGAGGTCCGCGCTCATGAAATATCTGGGCAGGTCGCATAATCTGTGGCACAGGATGACTTTGAGCCTCGAGCAGATGGCGTTCGAGAACGGTAGCAGTCAGATTAAAACGAAGCGCGAGTCGGACTGTTACGATTTCGAGCCGGATAACAGCCCGTACACGGAAGTCCTCGACTCACTGTCTGACATGTACTCGCTCTTGTGCGAGGAGGATATGTGGTCGGGCCTTTGGCAGAAGCACGCCCATTATAAAGAGACCCTGCAGGCAACCGTCCTCGAGCAGCAGGGCTTCTTCGAGCAGGCGCAGGGCGCTTACGACTTGGCGATGACTAAATTCAAGCAGGACTACGTTTCGACGCCCGCGCCATTTAAGACGCAACGCGAGGCCCTGCTATGGGAGCAGCATTGGATACGTTGCGCTAAAGAGTTAAATCAGTGGGATCTGCTGCTGGATTATGGTAGCAAGAAGGCTGAGAAGAATCCATTTTTAATACTCGAGAGCTCCTGGCGTATACCCAACTGGACAATGATGAAGGAAGCACTGGCCCAAGTCGAGCAAAATTGTCCTAAAGAGATGATGTGGAAGGTCAATCTTTACCGAGGCTTTTTGGCCATCTGTCACAGCGAGGATCAGCATCTGAGCGCCGTGGAGCGTTACGTCGAACTAGGTATATTAGAAGAATAAGAGTGTGTCGTATGTAAGGGTCGAGCCCTTTTGGCAATTTGCCGTAAGATTAGAGAAATTAGCGAGCGGCATTTAATATGCGCGAGGCCTACTGCACACTTAGGCACGCACTTTCTTAATTCTTATTTCCATGTTTAATTCTTAAGAATTTGTCAGGCGCGACGAGGATCGTAGTTCATATTGAAATACGCCATATTGAAATAATAAATAACCTATTGTATTGTATTTTAGCCTCGGGTCTGTGCATGCGCGAATGGCGACGACTGCCTCACATTGTTAGCCACATCCATCTGCCACTACTCCAAGCAGCCCAGCAGATAATGGAGCTCCAGGAAGCCATGCAAATTCATCAAGGATTACTGCACGGGCGCAGCTCGTCCCTCCACGACATGAAGGCCATCGTAAAGACGTGGCGCAATCGTTTACCCGTGATCGCCGACGATCTCAGCCACTGGTCGGACATTTTCACTTGGCGCCAACATCATTACACATTTATCTCGAGCCACTACGAGTGCCAACAAGAACAAACGACGAATCACTCGATGTTGGGTGTGCACGCCTCTGCGCAGGCCATCATACATTTTGGCAAAATAGCGCGTAAGCATAATCTATGCGGCGTTTGCCTCGACTCGTTGTCACGCATTTACACGATACCGAGTGTGCCGATTGTCGATTGCTTTCAAAAGATCAGGCAGCAGGTCAAGTGCTATTTACAGATGGCCTCGGTATCCGGTAAAAACGAGCTCCAAGAGGGCCTCGAGGTCATCGAGTCGACCAACCTCAAGTACTTTACCAAGGAAATGACGGCCGAGTTTTATGCCCTGAAGGGCATGCTACTCTCGCAAATCGGTCGTTCCGACGACGCGAACAAGGCCTTCTCCGCGGCCGTCCAGTTACACGATACCCTCGTCAAGGCCTGGGCTCTCTGGGGCGACTACCTCGAAAGCATATTCACGCGTGACGCCCGACAGATTTCCATCGGCGTCTCGGCCATCACCTGCTTCCTGCACTCGTGCAGGCATCAGAACGAGAGCAAGTCGAGAAAGTATTTGGCCAAGGTCCTCTGGCTGCTCACCTACGACGACGAGAAGTCCTCCCTCATGGACGTTGTGGATAAGTACGCGGTCGGGGTCCCGCCAATACAGTGGCTGCCTTGGATACCCCAGCTGCTTATGTGCCTCGTGCGTTACGAGGGCAATGTCATCTTGAACTTGCTTAGTCAAGTTGGCAGAATGTTTCCCCAGGCGGTTTATTTCTCCATCAGAACGCTCTATCTCACGCTAAAGATCGAGCAACGAGAGAGATTCAAGAGCACGGAATTGGGTAAGTGTCGGTGCTTTCATTTCCATCTGCCTATCAATCCCAATATTCGCCATAAAGACGCAATAAAGACGTATATTGTTTTACCGGGAAATTAGATGTTTTGTGACGTACGAGTGCAATTTAATCATGGAACATTTCGTAATTAGCTTAATTAATTATTTGCCTTTAAAAACTAGCGAAAGGACACGATAGCGGAGATCGCGGAGCAACTGGTGCTCAACAACAGGCTGCCCAACAACAAGAAGTCAAAGCGAAAGCGACAATACCTATGTGGATGTGCTCCAAGATCATGCACATTCAGAGAGAGATACATCCAACGATCCTTTCGAGTCTCGAGGGAATCGTTGATCAGGTGAATATTCTACTCGTCAAATATTTCACGTGCAAATTCCTAATTACGTAAGATTGTAAAAATGGCGCGAAAGAAGCCTTGCTTTACGTGGGTTGGGGAATTTCTTAGGTTGAGCGCAGGTATTGAGATAAACACTTGTAGTAAGAATAATTTTTCAAAATCAGATGGTTTGGTTCCGTGAGACCTGGTACGAAGAAGTACTTAGACAGTTAAGGCAAGGCCTTGCCAAATGCTATGCAATAGCATTTGAGAATCGTGGAGCAGTGAGCGAAGCCACGATAACACCTCATACCTTGAACTTTGTGAAGAAACTCGTCTCGACGTTCGGTAATGCATCGATTATTATTTACCTCTATTCAATCGGCAATAACGCAAGAGATCGCAAATTACGATCAATTATTATTATTAATTACAGAAAACATATCGTCATCCCAGAATATAACGAATACTTTCGGTTCGGCGGGCAACGAGTCGTTAGCGCGGAGAGCTCAAGCGACGGTTCAAGATCCTGATTTTCAAAAAATGAAAAGCCAATTCATCAATGACTTTGACTTTAGTACGCCAGGTGCACGGCTTTTACACAATCTAATCAGCAAATTTAAGAAATGGATAAAGATACTCGAGGGTAAAACAAAACAACTGCCAAAGTGAGTACCGTACTTTAAAGCACTTTAACATTAATATTAATAGGACGAATTAAATGTAATTCGATAAGTTCGTGACTGTGATGTAACAATAAGAATTATTCATTTATTTAAAAAAAAAAAAAAAAATCATTTCATTCGTATGTCAATAAGTAATTGTAATATAATTAATTATACTTTTTAGATCGTTCCTGATCGAGGAAAAATGTCGTTTCCTGAGCAATTTTAGCCTAAAAACTGCCGAAGTAGAGTTACCCGGCGAATTTCTTTTGCCAAAAGTAAATATTTTAAAATCAAATTTTGTCTCTTTTCAAATAAATAAATTAATGTGTGCGTGTGTATGTGTGCGTGCGCGCGTGACTGTTTTGATAAACGAAATTTTTTGGGAATGTCTTTGAATTGAAATAACAAACTCTTTCAGCATTCGCATTATTACGTAAAAATTGCGCGTTTCATGCCGCGAGTTGAGGTAGTTCAGCGTCACAACACCGCCGCTCGCCGCCTACGAATCCGCGGCCACAATGGCCGCTTGTATCCTTACCTGGTGGTGAACGATGCCGGCTTGGGGGACGCGAGACGCGAAGAACGAGTTCTGCAACTGCTCCGTTTCCTCAATCACTATCTGGCGAAGCAGAAGGAAACGTCGCGACGCTTCCTTCACTTCACGGTGCCGCGGGTCGTGGCAGTCTCGCCTCAGATGCGCCTTGTCGAGGACAATCCGGCATCCGTCTCTCTTCTCGACATTTACAAGCAGGGCTGCGCCAAGCTCGGCATCGAGCACGACGCGCCGATCGCGAGGTACTACGACAGGTTGGCCACTGTCCAAGCCCGAGGATCACAAGCTAGCCATCAAGTACTAAGGGACATTCTCAAAGAGGTGCAGACGAACATGGTCTCGAGGACGATGCTGCGGGACTGGGCCGTAAAGACATTCCCCGCGGCTACTGACTATTGGACTTTTAGGAAAATGGTTTGTTATAATTAATCTTATAATATATAATATAATATAATATAAGAAAAATAAGAAAAAAATAAATAAATAAATAAATAAAAGAAGATTAGTGTAGGAATAAGAATATAAATCACCTTTTTTCAAATTCTAAGATATTATTACCGTAGTGAGGGCCTTAGCACTTACTCTACAACAATTAGGCAATAATTAATTCAGAATTATTTTATTACATAATCTTCATTATATAATACGTATTTCGTTGAGGATTATAAAATTAGGGATAAATTATAAAATTAAGGATTAATATATGTAAGAGAAAAAAAGCCTGATAAATATTTATTGTTCTTGTTTAAATTCTATCCAATGTGTGTCGACATAACTTAAACAAACAAACACTTAAAAAAGAATTGAAACCAAATTTGATGATTTATTTCCAGGCACATAGGATTAATAGCTTTCAATTATAAAAATAATCTTTAATAATGGCGTTTAACTATCCTCTCTCGAACGTTTATTACTTTTAACACGCAAATACGAGACATCCATACGTGTTTGTATAGAAAATTATTTTTATTTCTTTCAGTTCACTTTACAATTATCCTTGGCTTGTTTTGCCGAATATGTACTACATTTGACAAGATTAAATCCAGATATGATGTACGTTCATCAAGATTCCGGCTTAATTAATATAGCTTACTTTAAGTTTGACGTTGACGATACATCCGGAGAATTAGACGCCAATCGACCGGTGCCTTTCCGATTAACTCCAAATATTTTGGAATTCCTCACCACCACAGGTAATGAAAAAAA